GTGAGAGACTCAAAGGAGCTCAATCTATTTAGCTGAACAAAGAGAAGGGGTGATTTGAGCACAGTCTGTAAGTACCTACATGGAGAATAAATATTTGATACCAGACTCTTCAGTCTAGCAGATAACATGATTCAATGGCTGGAAGAGGAAGCTAAACAAATTGAGAAGGAAATAAGGGGTACATTTTTGCCAGTGAGGATGATTTAGTTTTGGAACAACTTACCAAGGGTCGTGGTGGATTCTCCATCACTGGCTGTCTTCACATCAAGATTGGGTGTTTTTCTAGACGATCTACTTAAATTCAAACAGGAATTAATCCAGGGCAGCTCTCTGGCCTGTTTTATACAGGAGGTCAGGCTAGATCAGTGGTTTTCAAATGTTTTTTCTGGAGACCCAGTTGAAGAAAATTGTTGATGTCCACGACCCAATGGAGCTGGGGATGAGGGGTTTGGGGTGTGGGAGGGGCTCGGGGCTGGGGCAGAGGGTTGGGGTGCGGGGGTGAGGGCTGCGGGGTGGGGCTTGGAATGAGGGGTTCAGGGTGTGGGAGGGGGCTCTGGGCTAGGGCAGGGGGTTGGGGTGCAGGAGGAGGTCAGGGCTCTGGCCTGGGACCAGGGGTCTGGGGTACAGGAAGGGGCTCCAGGTTGAGGGGGGCTCAAGGCTGGGGCAAGGAATTGGGGTGTGGGGTTGGAGTGCAGGCTTACCTTGGATGGCCCACCACACAAAGAGGTACCTGAGTCTGTGTTGTTGTATCTCTCCATCTTTTGGAGTAGCTGTATATCGCTCACATATACTGCAGTTGGTTAATGGCCAAAGGAGATGAGCACAAGAGAATTGGAGTTGCCACAAGAGAATAGACCCTGGGTCCGTCTAGCTTGGGAACCCATCATGGCTGTTGGCCTGGTCCAGTATAGGCAGGTGCAAGATCTCCCCTTGTGGGCAGTTCTCTGGATGGCCTCCCTTATACTGACCCTGGGAGGAGAGCGGTTTCCACGGGGTTAAAAAAGGGCGGATGAAGATTCAGGACTCCTAGGTTTAATTGCAAACTCTTTATGGGACTGGGGTCTAGTGGATTAGAGCAGGGCCAGAGGTGGAAGTCATGACACCGGAGTTCTGTTCCCAAGACGGGGGTGAAAGGTTGAGATGGGACTTGAAAACACAGAGAATCTCATTGGAAAACCACAACACATTTCCAGTACTCTTAAAGTGTTCAGCGGCTTACATCCTTGCTATCCCCAATGTGACTGTGCTGGGGTGGACTAGGCCCAAAGGCCCCCTGCTGGAGGCCTCAGGGTCCTACCACACCCATCCCAGACCTTGGGAGACTCCAATCCACATAAAAAGTCTTCCTGGGGATATTCAAGATGCCATGTGGGCAATGGCTGCCACCTGTAAAGAACTGAGTCATGCATGGACATGTGACTTGCCCATGTGACTCCCAACTTCATTTTGCTGTAATTTTCCACAGTAAGAACAAAGGCCTTGGCTACACTTGAGAGTTACAGTGCAATAAAGCCGCCCACAGCACTGTACCTCACTCCCCGTCCACACTGGCAAGGCACGTACAGCGCTGTATCTCTGTGGCTACAGCGCTGCAGGTACTCCACCTCCCTGAGAGGATTAACAGCTGCTGTGGAGTGGCTGAGATGCTGCTGCTCCAGTGTAAACGGGGAGTAACCTTATTATGCAGTGATTGACCTCCGGAAACTCCTCATAATCCTTTTAACTGAAGCTTCCTCTCTTTGTTTTGTTGTGATTCCTCTCTTTGTTTTGTTGTGAACTCCCGACACTCCGTTTCGGGAGCTGCTTATCAAAAAAACAAACACAGCTACTGTTTGCTTTGAATGAGAAGAGACAGGCAGGGGGGCTGCCTTTGGAACGCCCACAGCTAATGTTTGCTTGAAGAGAGAGGCGGCGCGGGGGGAGGGAGGTTGGGGTCCGTTTCGGTGAGTGGCTGCTTATCTGGTCTATGAGAAAAAAACAAACAGCTGCTGTTTGCTTTCAGTGAGTGAGAGAGGGGTGGAGGAGGGAGGGGGGTCGGAACTTACAAGGCAGCGTGCTGACACTCTCAGCACTCCAAAAACCCACTCTCTCTCCCCCCACGCTCCCTGTAACACTCCACCCCACCCCCCACTTTTGAAAAGCACGTTGCAGTCACTTGCATGCTGGGATAGCTGCCCATAATGCCGCTGCAAATGTGGCCACGACAGTGTGCTGTCAGCTGTCAGTGTGGACAGACTGCAGCACTTTCTCTACTCAGCTGTACAAAGACAGGTTTAACTCACAGCGCTGTACAGCTGCAAGTGTAGCCATACCCAAAGGTATTCTTACACCTAGAAGAGACTATAAAAAGCTGCTGCAGCTTCTCCATCTTGTCTTCAATCCTGCTTCTGACTTCTGGAGGGACTTTGCTACAAACTGAAGCTTTGAACAAAGGACTGAATGATCCATCCCAGCTGTGGATGTACTCCAGAGACTTGATTTGAACCTGCAGTTTATTCCATCAGTGCTACAAGCCTGAACCAAGAACTTTGCCATTACTGTATGTAATTGATTCCATTTAACCAATTCTAGCTCTCATCTATATTTCTTTCTTTTTATGAATAAACCTTTAGATTTTAAATTCTGAAGGATTAGCAGCAGCGTGATTTGTGAGTAAGATCTAACTTGAATATTGACCTGGGTCTGAGGCTTGGTCCTTTGGGATCGAGAGAATCTTTTTTCTTTTATTGGGGCATTGGTTTTCATAACCATTCGTCCCCATAATGAATGGCACTGGTGGTGATACTGGGAAACTGGAGTTTCTAAGGGAATTGCTTGTGTGACTTGTGGTTAGCCAGTGGGGTAAAACCAAAGTCCTCTCTGTTTGGCGCCTTAATAGTAAAGGAACTCCAGCCTTGGGCTGTAACTGCCCTGCTTTAAGCAATTTGTCCTGAATTGACTCTCTCAAAGCCAGCATCGTTACAGCCAGACACCTGGCAATGCTTCAGTTCTATCAGTTTGTTGATGTTTGGCCTCAGTGACTGAGCAGTTGAAACCTTCAGGATTGCAGCAAGGTGTGCATCAGATAGTTGCATTCGGTATTTTGACTTGTTTATATTCATTGTGGAAAAAAGTGACACTGCCTCCATGGCTGAATCTGCCTGGCAACTAATGATGCTGCCTCCATGGCTGACTCTGCCCAGCGACTAGTGATGGTATCTCTGTCCCTCTCCCCTAGCCAATGGGAGCTGTGGGGGGCAGCGCCTGCAACAGACAAAGCCAGCAGCATGGCTGCATCGGTCTCTCCTCTGTGGGCCGCAGTGGGGAGGTTCTTGGGCCGCAGTTGGCCTGCAGGCTGGGACTTTGAGACCCCTGGACTGGGGGAACAAGAGGAGTTCCTGGCTGGCTGCTGGAGCTTAAAGGGCCTGGATACATCAGTCTTCTAGCAGGGACCACGGAAGCAAGTGGTGATCCTGGGTGGCTGCAAGGGCCAGGGGCGGCTCTAGCTTTTTTGCCGCCCCAAGCATGGCAGGCAGGCTGCCTTTGGCGGCACGCCTGCGAGAGGTCCCCAGTCCCGCGGATTCGGCAGCTTGCCTGTGGGAGGTCCGCCGGTCCCGCGGCTTCAGCGTACCCGCCGCTGAATTGCCGCCAAATCCACGGGACCGGCGGACCTCCCGCAGGCAAGCCGCCGAAGGCTGCCTGACTGCCACCCTCGCAGGGACCGGCAGGGCGCCCCCCGCGGCTTGCCGCCCCAGGCACGCGCTTGGAGCGCTGGTGCCTGGAGCCGCCGCTGGCAAGGGCTAAGGCAGATAGTTGCTGGCAGGGATTGGGGAAATGAGGGAATAGCTTCTGGCTGGCTGCCAGGACTGACTTAAGACAGGGAAGTGCCCCAGGGATATACAGTTAGTTAAAGGGACGTGTCACATGGCTGCTATTTAGAGAGTCTCTGGGCTGGGACCTGGCGTACTGGGTGAGCCTGGGTCTCCACCCTCCACCCCATCATGGGGGTGCAGACAGGCCCAGAGAAGGGACTGTTCGTGGAACTGTTACCTCCAGAAGGGGGTTGAACTGAGACTGACCCAGCTGGAGAGCTGGGGTCAGAAGACTAAAGGGCAGGTGAAGAGCCCTCAGAGAGGAAGGCCTGGGGGTGATGTTCCACCCCAGAGCAGGAATATTCACATGTAAGCTGGCCAACAAGGGTACTGAGGCCCTGTTGGTCAGACTAAGGACCAGAGCCTGGGGAAGACTACAGAGACGCTGGAGCCTGGGGAGGGCTACAAGACATTACTGAAGGTTTTGAGATAGGCCTGGTTGGACAGTGTACCCCAGAAGGGAGGGGCAGTGTAGGCAGTTTGGCCAGAGGACTGAGTCACTAAAGACCCGCCAAGAGATACATCGTCCAGAGGGGGCACTCGTGAGAGGTGGGTGGTGCCCTGCTGAAAAGAACTGAGTGATTGCAGGCACCCTTGGCCAGAGACAGGGGTCACTAGCGAGAGGCAGGTGCCGACCCCGTTACAGTGACACAGTAATTGCTTTGCAGGTTTCAGGTTTTATTGCGTTTAGGGAGCACAGAGAATGGCAGGTAGGAGACAAATGTTCAAAAATGATGAAGAGAATAATGACGAATATAACACTTAAAATGACGAATGTGAGGATTATCCATTCTTAGAGTGAATACGCAACACCAGCAAGGTGAAACTGGCAGATAGTTCTTAATGAAAGGACACTGTTTGAGACGGCTGCTATTTGTCAGAGAGGGGAGATGACATAGGGACAGCAGAAGGTGGGGTTGTGGCAAGGGGTGGTAATACTGTATAATGGGCACTAGGGGCAGCAGAAGGTGGGGGTGGGGAAGGGGAGGCTATACTGTATAATAGGCACGGGGGCAGCAGAGGGTGGGGTGGGGAAGGGCGGCTATACTGTATAATGGGCACTAGGGGCAGCAGAGGGTGGGGAAGGGGCGGCTATACTGTATAATAGGCACTAGGGGCAGCAGAGGGTGAAGGGTGGGGAAGGGCGGCTATACTGTATAATAGGCACTAGGGGCATCAGAGGGTGGGGTGGGGAAGGGGCGGCTATACTGTATAATGGGCACTACAGGACAGCAGCGTATGATGAGGACATTTCAGCCCAAGATCCCTGCACCAGAAGAGGCAGCAGCAGAATCCGAGGGAATCGGGAGTCGCCTCCTCATCGCCCCGTCAGATCTGGCTCTCAGCAAAATGCACAGGGTGCTCATGCTCATCGCAGGCAACGATGATCATCCTTGAGTCTCGGGTCGCCCAGTACTGGCAGTTGTCGAGGGGTTTCCCTCCATGCCAGGTGCAGGTGGTGACCTGGAATGGTCTGAGGCTCTGGCGCATGGCCTGGCCAGTTCTGGTTACATAGTTCCTGCCTCCATGGCTAGTGCAGATGGCTTTGATATCATCGCTGTTCCCATGGACAAAGGTGTTTGTCTCCTTGCAGACTTTTGGCCCAGGATTTCTGTCCCTCCTCCTGTCCTCCTTCATCATGTAGCGCATGCAGTTGTTGCAGTAGCGGTCGTCACGACCCTTTGGCTTTGCATCAAAGTGCTGAAGGAGGAACCGCTCATACTGCTCCTGGCTGGCTGATGCTCCCAACAGCACCAGTGCAGAAGCCAGTAGCAGCAGCAGCACGGGGGTCACTTTCAGAGCCATGGCACCAGCCAGATGATCCTGAGGACACATTGAGAGATAAGAACTTCAGAGTGGCCGTACAGAGTCAGACCATGGTCTATCTAGCCCAATATTTTGCCTCTGACAATGGCCTGTACCAGAGCTTCAGGTAGAGTGTACAAAACAGGGCAATTATGCAGTGATCCACCTGTGTACATCATATCAATTGGATCACCCTGGTCCACATGCTTGACCCCCTCACAGAATTCTAGTAGATTGGTGATTTCCATCTAGTAGATTTCCCTTTACAAAACCTGTGTTGACTCTTCCCCAACAAATTGTGTTTATCTATGTGTCTGATAATTCTGTTCTGTACTATAATTTCAGCCAAATTGCCTGGTACTGAAGTTAGGTTTACCAGCATGTAATTGCTAGGATCACCCCTGGAGCCTTTATTAACAATCAGTATTACATTCACAACCTTCTAGTCATCTGCTCCAGAGGCTGATTAAAATGATAGGTTACATACTGCAGTTGGCAGTTCAGCCATTTCATATCTGAGCTCCTTCAGAACTCTTGGGTGAATCCAATTTGCTCCTGGGGACCGATCACTGTTTAATTTATCAGTTTGATCTAAAACCTCCTCTATTGACACCTCAATGTGGGATGGTACTTCAGATTTGTCACCCCAAACGAATAGCTCAGGTGTGGGGAAACTCCCTCACATCCTCTGCAGTGCAGATGGAGGCAAATAATTCATTTAGCTTCTCCACAAAGGCCTTGTCTTCCTTGAGTGCTCCTTTAGCACCTTGGTTGTCTAGAGGCCCCACTGCCTGTCTGACAGACTTCCTGTTTCTGACGGCCCTAAAAAAATGTTGCTGGTACTTATGGTGTCACTTAACCTCTCTGTGCTTCTGTTTTCCCCTTCTATGAAATGGGGCTGATGCTCTTACGCCTGGGCTACACTGGAGGGGGGAATCGACCTAAGATACTCAACTTCAGCTACGAGAATAACGTAGCTGAAGTCAGCGTATCGTAGGTCGACTTACCTCGTGTCCTCACTGCGCGGGGTTGACTGCCAACACTCCCCCGTCGACTCTGCTTCCGCCTCTTGCCACGGTGGAGTACAGGAGTCGATGGCAGAGCGATCGGGGATCGATTTATCGCATCTACACTAGACGCAATAAATTGATCCCCGATAGATCGATCACTACCCGCCGATCCGGCAGGTAGTGTAGACGTACCCTTAGTTCCAGCCTCACCTTAGTCCTTGAATGCCTCGCCCATCCCCACGGTATCAGGGCATTTTGCAATCTCCTAATCTAATACACCTGGAGTCTAGACTTCGGATTGAAAAGGAGACGTGGCTTGTTTGTTTTATTTTATACAAAGCAGGAGTCCTTGACTCTGTTAGCCAAGCAGAGATCAGAAAGCTCTGCTGTTGACACAATTATTTTTGTTCTCAGCTCTTTCTAGGGAAACAATGACCCTTGATATCTTCACTTGGCAGGTAAATAGAGGAAAGATTGATTTGAAGCCCTCTCTTTCGCTTTCCTTTCCTTCTGTGGTTGTTTCACCCTAGCCACATTTTAGACTGTAGGAGCAGGGAGGTGATTTGTATACCGTGTTGGTGGGACCGATACTGGTGTACTGTGAATACGGCATCCAGTTCTGGGGTCCACCTTCTGGAAAGAATGTTGAAAAATGGGAGGAGGAGCAGAAAAGAGACACAACAATGATTTAAGGGCTAAAGAAAATGCCCGAGAGTGAGAGATTTAAAGAGCTCGATCTGTTAATGTATCTAACAGCAGACTGAGAGGTGATGACAGTGTATAAGGACCTTCCGGGGGAGAAATCACCAGACACTCAGTGTCTGTTCAATCTAGCAGAGAATGGCAGAGAAAGAACCTAGGGCTGAAAGCCAGACAAATTGATCTTAGAAAAAAGGTCCCAGATTTTAACGGTGAGGATGGGGAATCATTGGAACAAATGACCAAGGGGAACAAACTCCACCTTTTCCATCTCTGGCTGGCTCCAATCCAGACTAGACAGCTTTGTGGAAGGTGCTTTAGCCAAACACAAGTGATTGGGCTCAGTGCTGGGGTAACTGGGTGAAATTTTCTGGCCTGTGATATACAGGAGGTCAGGTTAGAGAATTGAATGGCCTCTTCTGGCTTTAAAATCTAGGAATGGTTCTGGTGGGAGGCAATTCACCGAGGGTGGTTCAGAATGTGAACACCCCAGCTCTACTGGGCTTCTTGAGGAAATGGGTGAGGAAGGGATGCATCAAGGCAAGGACTGGTCTCAAATTTCCCCTTGGGTTAGACAGTGGATCCCACCCCAAAACTAATCTCCAGAGAGATCCCCCACTCAGAACTGCTTTGTAACCCCCACCCAGCTTGTGCTTCCATCTCTCTCATAGCTGATCCCCAGAGGTTTATGAGTCTGCCAGATGGGGGACCTGAGCTGGGATTTTGAAAGGAGCCTTCCAGAGTTAGATGTCCTAATCCCACAAGAGATCCCCTAACTCCCTTAGGCCCCTTTGCAGACCTCAGCCACAGTCCTCCAGCAGTAGCAGCTCATGTGCTTGGCATCAGTGGATTCTAAGTATCCCACAGGGGACCCAGGTACTGCTGGTCAGACGGTCAGCCCAGCTTTGCACAGCATGGGACGCTGAATGTCGCCCTGTGGCGATTATGTCCTCTCAACCCAGTCTCTTTATTCCCCCTTTAAAGAGACACTTTAAAATGAGCAGACAGCCTGAGCTCTGAGCCCCCCTCTCTGCATGAACTGACCCAGCCCCTCTCACCTGCTTTGTGTTTTGAAATTCTGCAGCTCACAGGTAAGATCTAAACTGGTGGAAAGTCCTGCTCCAGTGCTCAGAGGAACCACAGTGGGGTCTGCTGAGCCCTCTACTCCCATCTCTAGGTGACATATTCTTTCCTACAGGCAGGAGTCCTGAGTCTCAACCCACCCCGCTCTAACCCACTAGACCATACTCCCATCCCAGACCTGGGGATAGAACCCAGGAGTCCTGATTAAAATGGATTCCACTCCAAAAACTAATCCCCTGGAGTGTGTGTGGGGGGCTGCTCTAACCACTAGACCCCACTCCTATTCCAGAGCTGGGGATAGAACCCAGGTGTCTTGACTCCCAGACTCCCCCCTCCTTGCCTCTGATTATTTGATTGATTGTTTTCTCCTCCCAGAGCTGGGGCTAGACCCCAGGAACCCCGAGTTGAAGCCTCACTGTTCTAATTCACTGGACTCCCTTCTCATCCCAGAGCTAAGGAGAAAACCCACAAATCCCAACTCCCAGCCCCCCACTATTCTAACCCATAGATCCTTCCCCTTCCTACAGCTGGGTAGAGGATCCAAGTGCTCTGACACCTAATTGCGCCTGCCCTCACCACCCGACATTCTGCCCTCCCGCAGCCAATTAACTGAGCCATCTCCTCTGTCTATACCTGTGGGATCTCCGGCCTGAAGATTCAGATCAGCTCAGGAACTAACCGTGGCGCGGTCTCCTCCTGGCCAAAGTCCTGGTTCCTCAGCTCCTGTCCCCTTGGGAAATAGACGAGCTGTCTGCAGAGTGTCGCTGATGCTGTACCCCCAGTAGGTGCCTGTTATATAGAGTCCGTGGGGAGTCGGGGGGGGGGTGGGGGGTGGAAGGGACTCCCGGGCTCAGCTAACACTGCGGAATGGGCAGCATTGTGCAATGCAACCAGTGCCGGTAACATCAGTGCACTGGGCCAGTGGCCCCGTAAAACAAACAGACCTTGGAACGGACGCTGACCCTGTTTGTGTCCATTCAGGCCCATAGCGCGGGGAGCTCTCCCCAGCACAAAGGGCTTAGCACAAGCCAACCATGCGCCTAAGACAGGACCAAGGGGGTCTGCCACCTTGTGATATCAACACCACATCCCCGGTCAGGAGAGAGGAATAGCTGTGTCCTGTTTTGCTATTTGGAGGGGCTGAGCTATTCCAAGAGACCTAAGGGAATGAGGTGTCCAACTCCCATGGGCCAGCCCCAGGGGCTAGGTTTACAAAGGGGCTTAGGCACCTAAAGGCCCCTAGAGCTAAAGGCTGACAAGGAGTTTGGCTCCTGTTGAGGCTCCTGACATCCATTGATTTCATTGGGAGTCAGCAGCCTCACTCCTTGGTCTCCCCCTGCGACCCAAGCCAGCCGAGACTGACTTGCTTTCAGCTGCCTGGTCCTTGCCCCGCCCGTTGCTCCTCCTCCGGTCTTTGTCTTGCTTCCCGGGCCAAGAGTCACCTTGTCTCATCCCCTTCCTGTGTCTCAGGTTATGAAGGGGCGGCCATAGCATCCATGCAGGCAGCTGGAGAAGCCCCTGCAAAAGTCACCCCCCCTTATTCCCACCACCTAGACATTGGTGCAATACACAGGGAAACTGAGGCACACACAGCATCCATGCAAAACAGTAAGACTCACATAGGCTCACATACAACATAACCAGGGAAAATCCCCACTTCGTCACATCTCTTCCCCCTTCAAGATCGAACTGAGCGGGGTCACTTTAGCCAGTGACCTGGTGAAGTTCAGGCCTCCCTCTCCAGGACAAAGCACCAACTATTACATTTGCACTCCCCTTAACGTAGACCACCTCCATCTCATAATCCTGGAAGGACAGACTCCACCTCAGGAACTCAGCATTGGCCCCTCTCATCTGGTGCACCCACGTCAGGGCAAGTGGTCTGGGTACACAGTGTAGTGTCACCCAAATAGATCCGCTTGCAGTCTTTTAAGAGCCCATTCATGGCCAGGCATTCCTCTATGGCTGCATAGCCCTGGTCCCAGGGCAGCAGCTTCCTGCTCAGGTACATGATGGGGTATTTCTCCCCCCTTGCATTGGCCTGCCTCAGCACCGCGTCCAGCTCTGTGTCTGGGGCATCGGTGAACACCACAAAGGTTTTGTCAAAGTCTGGGTTTCCCAACACTGGGCCCTTGACCAGATCCTCCTTCAGAGTGCAGAGAGCCCTCTGGCACTGCCCAGTCCAGACCAGCTTGTCTGGCTTACCCTCCTTGCATAGCTCAGTAATAGGAGCTGACACAGAGCCTGGGCCTGTTTCTTAGTCTGGGGAGCAGGCCAGTCTCTTATCGCCCCCCACCTTGGCCAGCTCTGGCTTTAGGCAGCCGCTCCCCGCCTTGTGGCACAAGCACAGCACATCTGCCATCCATAGGTGTGCACACGGGGTGTGACCGGGCACACCCTAATGCCCATGGGCCGGAACCGGATCTGGCCCCTCAGGGCTTTGGATCCGGCCCGCGGGATTTGCCCCCCGTGGTGCCGCAGGCCCCGCGCTGCTTTCACAAGCAGCCATCAGGGCACCATGTCTCTGGGGCCGAGGGGTTGCTCCAGGCACCGCCTCCCGAAGCTCCCATTGGCCAGAAACGGGGAACCGCAGCCAATGGGAGCTTCAGGGGAGGTACCTGGAGGCGTGGCAAGGGCAGCGTGCAGAGCCCTGTGCTGCCCCTCCCCCGGGGCTGCGCGGGGACGTGGTGAGCGGCGTGGGGCACTGGCAGGCAGGGAGCGCGCCTCTGTGGGTAAGTGGTGCCGGGCCGGGCGGAGCCCGAACCCCTCCTGCAGCCCCCCTCCCTGCCCTGAGCCCCCAGCCTGCACCCTGTTGAGGCGGGCTCCCCTTCCCCAGGGCCGGGCTGGCTGCTTTAACAGCCCCATGTGCTCCCTGGCAGCCTCCCACCCGGCCGCACCAACACAGCCGCTTAAGGTGGCCTGCGGGGGTGCTGCCCCAGCCCCCCCCCCAGCGTCCAGGGCCCCAAACCCGCCTGCGGCTCCCCGCGCTGGCCAGGGGCCCGGGCACCACCCGGGGGGGTCAGGCCACCCCTGAGCCCAGCCCACCTTAAGTGGGGCCCGGGAGCCAGCAGGCCCGGGGCAGGGGGCGAGCCGGGCCCACAGGCCCCCCCCGCAGCCCGACTGCGAGCTCAGCTCCCCGGCGCTGTTCGGGGGCTCCGGCCCGGCACTCTCGGCCTTGAGTCCAGCCCTGGGAGCAGCCCAGCCCCTCTGCGATCCGCCCGGCTGCCTCTGCCCGGCCTGGCCCCAAGCGCCCAGCCCGGCCCCCTCTGCCCGGCCCCCGAGCCTGCCTGCCTGCCGGGACGGGGGAGCCCAGATCCCCAGCCCCGGGCCTGCCTTCAAACAGCCTACCCTCCTGCACCCCAACTCCCTGTCCTGAGCCCTCTGCCTGCATCTTGCACCCCAACCCCCTGCCCCACAACTCCCTGCCCTAAGCCCCCTGCCTGCACCTTGCACCCCAACCCCCTGCCCCACAACTCCCTGCCCTGAGCCCCCTGCCTGCACCTTGCCCCGCAGCCTCCTCCTGCCCCCAACCCCCTTCCCTGAGCCCCCTGCTACACCCTGCACCCCAATCCCCTGCCCTGAGCCGCCTCCTGCACTCTGCACCCCTCCTCTGTCCCAATCTCTTGCCCTGAGCCCCTTCCTGCACACTGCACCCCTCCTGAACCCCAGCCTCCTACCCTGCACCCCTCCTGCACCCCGCACCCCTCCTGCACCTCAACCCCCTTCCCTGAGCCCCCACATACACCCCACACCCCTCCTCTGCCCCAATCCCTTGTCCTGAGCCCCTTTCTGCACACAGCACCCCCTCCCACACCCCGCACTCCCTCCCACACCCCAACTTTTATAATGTTTGCCTTTAAAAAAAAAAAAAAATTCCCTGGGTGCACACCCTAATGAAATGTGCTGCGCACGCCTATGCTGCCATCTCCACCTTGCACGTCCCAGCTTTTACAGTCAGCCCTGCATCCTGAAGGCGACTCAGCCCCTTTTCACCTGGGGCATATGGTCCTCCCAGGTCTGGCTAATGGCACAAATATCATCAATGTACATTAGGGTAAAATTCTCCTTCCCCTTCAGTAACTGATCGCGCTGGCAGGTGACCAGTGCCTCCTTGAGGCTGAAAGGTAGGACCTTCACCCAGGTGTCACAGCCCCTCAGCACCTGGAGAGGCTGCACCACCTGGGGCCTGACAACAGTTCTCTCTGTCCCATGATCTCACCACCCCAGGAATGACTCTCCATTGACCACCACCTTCTGCTCCCACTGGATGTCTGAGGGGCCTGATCCCAGGAGAGCCCACGCAGACATATATGCTGGGGACAGGAGTGGGAGCTAGTCTGCCACCCGGCCCATCTGGCTAAACAGCTCTATGGCCTTGGGACCCAGGAAGGGGGCTAGACACTGGAGCATTTCCGCAGGGCCAGCCTGGTTCCAAAGGCCACGAGAAAGGCATCTATATCTCCCCCCTCCTTAACCTGGGGCTGCAATTTAGTGTCAAGGTTCCCAGCGGAATTGGCACTCTGGGGTCCATCCCCACTCACCCCTGGCCAGGTCATTCTGCCTCTCAGCTCGGCCATCGCCAGTTCATGCTGCCTCTGTTTTTCCTGCTGTTCTGCTTCATGCCTTCCCTACCTCTCATGGTCCTCTGACTCCTTCAATCTCAGCTCCAATTCCATCCGTCTCAGATCCACTGACAGGGAACCCAGTGGAGACCCGCTGCTGGTCAGGGACATGGGTCTCCAGGAGACCCGGCTGCTCCCAGCCTCTCTCTCACCCCCAGCTGGGTCAGGAACCAGCTCCTTAGAGGGGGGATCCTCTTCCAACTGAGCAATCAGCTGTGCCTTGGTGAGCTTTCCAATGTGCAGCCCTCTCTCTCTGCACAGCTCTACAATTTCCTTCTTAAGGGGATAGTTATAGGCCATCTCCATGCTGATCCCAAGTGGCCATGGACTCCTAGGCCTGTGCTCTCTCAGCTCCCCACAATCCCTGGGAGGAACCCCTTCAGTGCGACAGCCCTTCTCGGGGGTCCACCTCTCTCGGGGTTAAGCTGTAGGCTTCTCTGCCTCCTGGAACCACACCTCTTGGAGCCTTCAGCATGCCCATTTCTCGCTAATCCCCCTTTGTTTTACTGCTCCCGAGTCATTTACTGCAGGATGCTGTGTCCACGGGGTGCAGTTTATCCCACTTTTACCACCAGTTTCCATGGAGTCACCGGTGCAATGTTTTGGAACTACTCCGTACTAAGCCAGTCAGGACTCTGGGGGAGCGGAGCCTCCCCTCTCTGAGCAGACTGTCTCCAGGGCAAGAAGCTTACACAGCTTCGACCTTACTGGGTCTCACCTTGGAGCATTCAGCATCCCCTTCCACACCGTACACTTCCGGCAGCGAGTCCATCCGGGCGGAGCTCCTGGGGAAGCCAGAGGGCCCTGCACCCCAACTCTACAGTCAGACATGGCTCTCAGCCAACCGGTAAAACAGAAGGTTTATTAGTCGACAGGAACACAGCGTAGGACAGAAGTTGTTAGCACAGAAATCAGTGACTTTCAGCCAAGTCCATCTTGGGAGGAGGGGAGCCCAGAGCCAGGGCTCTGGTCTCCCCCTGCGTCCCCAGGCAGCCGAGACTGACTCGCTTCCAGCTGCCTGACCCCTGCCCCGCCCGTTGCTCCTCCTCCGGCCTTTGTCTTGCTTCCCAGGCCAAGAGTCACCTGGTCTCATCCCCCTCCTGGGTCTCAGGTTACGAAGGGGCAGCCATAGTATCTGTGCAGGCAGCTGGAGAAGCCCCTGCAAAAGTCACCCCCCCTTATTCCCACCACCTAGACATTGGTGCAATACACAGGGAAACTGAGGCACACACA